GACAGCCCACCCAAGCAGACAACCAGACCGACCAAAACACAAACCTAGGCCATTCTTGGCACAAAGTTGTGTCTGGCTCTCACCTCAGTCTGTGTTTTCCCTAGGATGTCTCTCGCTCTCTTTTTTTTCATGGGGCGATTGCTGGTGTGGCCCTAACACTAACAAATTACAACAGCTATGAAAATATTGGGCTTAGGTGTTAAGTCTGGAGGCCAGGGGGTTAAGAAATGGAGTAAGTGGTTTATAATTGGGTGCGTGAGGCCTCATAATCCATGGTACAACGCCTCTGTAATATCATCATCATTGTCACCCCTTTGAGCTTGTTGATTACCGGTGGGAGGGGGGCATTTTCTTCAGATGGAGTCCTAAGAGAGGAAATTTATTTTCATACCCCAAGGATAAAGAGGGGGGGGGGCAGAAGGCTTCTGGAAGGGTGAGAGAAATAAGAAGGGAGGGTAAGGGGTTGGGTTGAGGTAAATTTCAGTTGGCAATGCATCATCAGGATAACAAGCAATCTTCAGGACGTGTGTGTGTGTGGGGGGGAGGGGGAGCCGCAGAATTTTGGATTCACCCCACGAGTCAGGATGTTGTGGGCTGGACTGTGCCAGAGGGTATGCTGTGCTTCCTGGACAGTAATGGCAATACAGCAACAAACAAGAAGGGAATGCTTACTTGTGAGTCATGTTACGTCTGAGCTCACAGATACCAGAATAAAAGGGGTCTAACAAAGGCCTCGGTAGAACAACAAAAATCAAATCTAGGTTTCTTTTTCATTCGTGGAAGGGGAACGTTTGATATTCCCTGTGGGAAGGATGGAACAAACACACACAAAGCATTAGGACAGCAGATGGCGAAGAGATGAGTAAAATCACTGATGAAGTGAGGAAGATGTTGTCTGTCCCTCCCCAAGTGCGACTTGGAGGGGGGTTGCTACAACCCCCCTCAGGGAGGGGAAGTTGTTAGGCCATGAGTGGTTTTCCCAGGATGTTTGGGTCTTCAGACGGCCAGCTTCTAAAAACAAAGCATGAGTGTGTCAGTAACGATAGGGAGGGAATCTAAAAAACAACTTTTGAATGTGAGAGGAGTTTGTGTGAGGAATCAGACAATTACATTTAGAAGTCACGAACTGAAGTTTTGATTTTTGTTTTTCAGCCGATTATTCTCTCTGCAAGTTGGGCCAGAAGTCTCCAATTTGTCGGCAAATGCCGCTCCCAGCCGGGACTGAGACGAAAGTGCTGACGTTTATTGTCACTCACTGTACCTGTACGTCACGCTACTTCTAGTGTTTCCCCAGTCTATGGGGGGATAAAAAAGAAAGAACCTGACACGCCGCAAACCCTCCGCTATAATCCACCCTTGTGATGAGATACAGTTGCAGCAGACAGCCACTTGGTACCACCAGGGATACAGTATGGTGATGTCAGCCACTGGCTGCATTAGTCAGGTGCTTGTGGATCAAACAAGAATAACTTCAAAGTTCTGAATCATTCCAAGGTTCCTATCGATGTGCTTATTTCCAATGTTTCCTTTGGGCGAAGCAAAGGTTAACCCTAAGCAACGATTCTCACATGTATAAAACAATTGCACCATGAAAAAAAAATGCTTTGGCAGTAAATTTGCTCTCCAATCACATGGATACCTCATTATTCAGTTGCTTTTCTTTTTCCGTTCTCCACAGAGCCACATTTGTACCGGACTCTTGCATGAATTGCGTACGATTTCAACATATCATTTATCCCCGTCATCAGGGCAAAGTCATCAGTAGCCCTGTCTTGACTGAGTAGCAACCAGGGTGGCATGGACGCCTGACCTTGCGTTTGTTGTTTGAGTGCAGTCAACCACAAAAGTACAGGATACAAACAAAGCCCTCAGGTAATCACCCCCTTCACTGGGCTGAAAAATTCAAGTGTGAAAGAGGAAGTCCAGCCTCGGACACAAGAGAGTTGGAATGGGCACTGAGTTCAGTGTCTATGGCAGTTTGGACCAGATACTGAGATGCTCTTGCATTGTGTCCAAACAACATAAGCATCATTCAACTCTGGAAAACAGGCTGTACACCAAGAATTCAACTGAGAAAAAAAGGCAAAAAACAGCTTATATCTTATTCTTTGTCATAATCAATAATACTTTTCCATCCAAGAATCAATAAGATTGAAGATGACGATGCATGGTGCAGTTCATATTCTTTTTATTTGTTCAGGTATTTATAGCATTTGTAAGGTGAATACAAAATACCACCTTTTGATACACTTTTTTAAGTTCTTGTGATGAGTGAAATTTCTGGGTGTTAACAGAAGGACACCACTAAGATAAACAGTCTTTCTGCAGTGAGTCGCCAGATGACAGCGGCAGTAAGGAAGTGCTCGCAACCAATTGGAGACAAAGGAATGTCAGCACAGTTGGAGAGGGAACCCACTCTGGAAAATATGATGCTGCTCAAATAAGTAAATTATATATCGGTTGGGAAAATTTTAGCTTCCTTTTATTTGACTGTGACCACAGATTGTTCAGTTGAGTTTTCGTGTGTATGAAAAAAAGGCAAAAGTTCCTGAACTCCATCTGGATTGAGTAAAAGAAAATTATACTGAAAGTGGGTCGTTGGGATTAATTTTGACGATTCAATTATTTATTTGTAAGTGTAGGAACCTACTCACTACAAGTGTACTGAGGGGTATATTCATAATACTGCTTTTGCATAGACAAGTCAAATGATCAAGCCTAAAAGAAAATAGTATCACTGTTCTTCAGTGCAAGACTGTAATGTTTTTGCAAGGAAACAATGAAAGAAATGTAAATTTTAGGCCGTGTCCGAACATTACAACCAAGGCTATTTCCACCTACACTGACAGACATCACCCGGTAGTGGCTGCAATAACTTCCTAAAGGTGTGTGTAATTCTCTCATCAACAGCCACTTCATTAGGACACCTGCCTTGGGTATAGCCCTTTATCATCATGCTGTCATGTTTGTCCTGTTCCCTGCAGACCCATTGGCAACAGTAATACAACGTTACCTTCCCCTCCAGCCTCAGTTTCACTACATTGCTTTGAATGGTAGGAAAGCAAGATGGCTGCCCTATGATAGAGGTCTATATAGACAGAAAGCCCCACAGTTAACTTCAAGGAAATCCAGCAGGGCCTATCGGGTGAGATTCGAGCCTGTGTCACTGTAAGTGGCTGGTGTCTGGCGGGAGCACCACTGTGTCAAATCCTGCCAGTCAATGGAGACCCAATGCAAGCTACTGGAATAGGTACAGTCACAGTTGGGTTGACCTTTGACATATCAGACACAGCTCCTTTAAACTCAGCCATGCATTTCTCCATTTCTTCCGTACGCACCCTGCGAAGCAGAGCACGGCAGCATTTTTGGGCGGCTGCATCACTCTCCGGAATGTTAGACAAAAGACATTGATGTCCGTCATCAATGTTCACTCCATTTAACATCACTCTAGCATGACATACCACGGGGAGGAGGAGGAGAGACTAGAAACGACCCACCGGATTGGAGGAGAAATGAGCCGAACAGGACCCAATTCTTGATTCGGTTACTTCAATGAAACAGGAAAAGTTCTCTGCAAAAAAGGAGTGCCCAGTTTTTCTTTTCACCAATGCAGAGTGTATCCATCAAATGGTATTTCATTATAGTAATGATGCAAAATAGACTCAAGTCACAGTAGCCAAAAAGGCTTCACGAACGGACAAGCTTAGGTCAATGAGTTCTTCACACTATAAACAGATGCAGTCTATTTATGCAGCATAACGAGTTTGAATTCTCATATTGCAGAACATTTTTCAAAATAGAAAAACGGAGATATTTTTACGTAGATTTATTTTAGACTAGAGGCACAACAGACTGCTAGTTAAGCATGTCGGGAGCTAATAATAACCAGATTCTATTTCTGGTTGGGACGGTTCCAGTACGTGACAGCATTGCTGTCTGGCTGTAGACAGGCTGCAGACAGCACACAAGGCTATTTTTGAAAAGAGAAAAATCCGCAGAGGAAAAAAAAAAAGGAATGCGATAAAGGGAAGCAAAGAGAAAGGTGGCTGCTACGGAGCAGGCTGTTGTTAGTGGGACATCTTGAGGAGATGGAAAGATCCAAACCGGATGTTTCCAGGTTACGTCAAGCTGCTTCCAGGCTTCACAGATGCTGCATAGCTACATATAGGTCAGGCTCACAGCACTGTCGGTGCACTTAAGCGAAATTCTGTTTGTCAATACAACACTGGTTTATAGATGAGTAAGGATCAGGATTTAGAGGAAGCACAGCAAGATTCCGCATTATTTAAAAAACAATGACTGTAAAAAATGTCACTAAGGAGCAACAGTTCAGATACAAACAATTCAGCATGCAACATGCTACACCAACCTTGGCTATATAATCACTGGTAAAAGCCATTTGAATGTAAGACAATTTATGTATCATTTATTCAAAGATATATGACTAAATTATGAAAATGTTGGCAGTGTGAATCAGTCATCAGTCAGTAATAATCCCCGTCCAGACAAGCTTTGCCTGAGTATTTTTGCTTAATTCTACAGCCAATGAGAACCCTGTATCTGACGGGATTTTCAATTACAACCAACCAGGTACCAGAGTATGAAGATCTCACATCCCCGGACACTGTCACACCAACTGATCCTCTAAGCAAAACTACAAGACATACACAACACAGCTTTATGTACTACTGCACGACGCAGAACACCTACTGCATCAATTTTTGTACTCAAACTTTTTTTGCGCCATTATGTGCAAAGGGTTTCTGTGAACCAAGGGAGCACAAAATTTCAAGCATCAAACAGGTAAAAACAAGGAAACCGGCAAAAGTAACAGTGCCAGAATTAAAAAAAGAAATGATTCAAAGAGTTTTCATTTTGAAATTGGATTTTTTTCACAGTGCTTCATAACTACGGCTTCTTGATTCCAAAAACCTTTTTGCTGAGCGAAAATGGCACATACAAGTGAGATATAAGAATGACACCAGGTACATGTAAGTTACCTTTGCTCTTTCTAGCCTTTGACGCTGCTCATGGAATCCTGGTGAAGCTTTTAGAGCTGAAAAGAAACAATTCACATCATTAAATGTCTTTGAAAGTGTAGGTTTAAGTTAGGACAGACGGCATCTTGATTTTTAGTCAACTCACAGTACACCAAACATTGTCTACAGTTCTAATAATCCGTTGCTTATGAGTATGCAGATTTCGTTAAATTATTAAATTTAAATCTGCTTATGAATAATCAAAGACAGGCAACAAACATGCTTTCATTGGCAACTTGACCAGGTGTATTTCCACTTTCAGAGCATCTGGCTGCTCCAATAGAACTCAATTATCATTTGCATGAGTAACCCAGGTTCCCCCTAAATGTTCCACCGTTATGACTATTTTTAGATATTCTCTGATTGGGCAAACCCTCTCAGTTAAACAAAGTCACGGCCTTTGTTACTAGATTGAGGAGACTGCAGGAAGTGAGTGGTACTGCGCGTGGCATGGAACAGGACCACTTACAGGATCTGGCACCCTGCACTTGAACCGATATTCTGATGTCCATGTTGAGTCCGTAAAGTACCGGTACATTCCCAAATTACACTGAGAGAGAGGAGTGCAGTTATCAGACTACAGGATGACACAGGGATGTTCACTGAGTCAAAGTTCCATCGCTACGGGCACTGTAAATTGATTTAAGATATTTCTCAATTTTCCACTAAAGCCTGGTCCTCGCCAGGCTTTCAAGACTATCCTAAATAAAACTACCGCTACGCTCATAACGTTTTATCCCCCTGGCCCGCCCTAATGTGCAAACCCACCAACCATTCTCAAGAATGTGCGGGATTCTTAGCAGGCAGAAGGCATATATTGGAATACCTGGTATTTGAGGAAACTTCTGGAAACATATTTGGGGGGAGCTTTATCTTTTGGTGGGCAATGAGACAAATGAAGAAGATTCCTGGATGTCATAAAAGAAAGCATTATAACAGTTGTTGCTGGGGGGGAGCTATGCATAACAGGCATCTATTTGTGGCAGGTGACATCACGGGCAGTGGATGTCATTGGCTGCCGTAAAAGCGGCGGAAGGAGTTGCGGCTTGTGGAAGTATGCCGTGGCTATCTGTCTGATGACGTCAAAGCCCGGCACAATCAATGTCTCACTACGATCTCTCATTTCTCGTCCAACGGTATAAAAAAAGAAGAAGCAAGACAGGAAGGGGAGGGGGGGCAAATGGAGTAAAAAAAAATCAAGGATCGTAGCCACGAGGCAGTATCAACAGCCAGGAATCAGATGTAGAGACTGTGGATTCTGGTATGCCTGGTATGCGCTACGTCAGACTGCGGACCATGTTGTTGTAATGGGCTTACAAGCGCTGAAGCTTTAACCTCGATGACATAATTTTTCTCCTGCACCCCCTCGTCCACGGAGCACTACAAGACAATGATGGTGGTGCAGGCCCAGCTCCGTATGCTGGCAGCTATATTTATCATCTCCATCACTGATAATACTCGACCGTAGATAAATATATGCACGGCATCATAACTTCCTCGGCTTGGCCTCAAGGCCACAGGAGATGGTCCACAATAAGTTTGAGGACTGCAGAAACTACTTTGAATACTGTGTCTTACTCTGGATGCATTTGAGCAGTATATGGCAGTAGTTTGTGAGAACAAATGTCCACAGTGAGCATTTTTATTTGAGTTCAAGGACAACACAGTTTAAGAATCACTCATTTCTAGGTATGCTACAAGAGTCAACAAAACGCTTTGCAAATTAAGAACTTGAGCAAAGTAACAGTTAAAAGAATAATATGTTGTCAAAAATGACTTGGAATTCCAGCGTGGTTAGCCATGACCAATTCTGATTTTATAGAGTTTAAGAACTGTAGGAACTGGAACAAAAAGATACTTACGAGGCATAATTCCTTGGCTGACAAGTTCTTCCCTGGGGCGTCTGAGCTTGAGTCGTAAAGCAAGTACTGTTGAAGAAAGAGAGAGCAAAGAACAAAATCAAAGATTTGTTCTCCTTTAGCCTCAAAACTAATGGCTGAGGGGCAGAATAATGGTAAGCAACTGTCAAACCACAGTGAAAATGTACCCATTAAACATTCTGCATTTTTGGAACTGGTGCTCTTAGGAAACAGTTCTACACAATCAAAAACTGAAGACAAATTGCTCCACTTTGCTTATTTCCTTCTAGAAAGGACTCGTGCTGAAAACTTGGCAATCCACATTGGTCCAGAGGTCATTGACATGTGGAACACTCAAAGGAATGCATGCGCATTCAGGTGTACATTTCTCGCAGGCCACAAACAGTATCCCTGTTCTGTGTTATGTGGACCTTTTCCTCCAACAGCGGCCATCAATGCACTCAGTGAAAATCTACAGTTGTGATGCCAGACCGCTGCATGTCACTTCACAGTTAACATGGCTTACCAAAATAAAAAAGCTTTTGGGTTTATCCCAGGTTACAGGACGGCATCAAGTAAGCACAAGTTACATGGACTCCGAGGTCAAAAACTAAATCGCTGCATAAAATTCCGAGGTCCAAAGTTATTGCAGAAGACACAGCGAAAACAACGGGCTGGGGTGCAGCTCAGCCAAACGACAGACTAAAACAAAGACACGTCAGCAAGACAATGGCTCTCAACCGGGCTGGGAAAACAAAACTCTCTCAAGACGCAGTGTCCTGGGATGGTACCAGGAATTTGACATTTGAGCAAGAAAGGTGACTTTCCAGCACCACGCTGTGAGTGTAACAACGCAGCGGTGGAAAAGCCGATATCTGTGTGAGAAATTTCAACTGGAGGTCTGGTGCTTTGTTTTGTTTTGAAGCATATAAGGCAAAAACCGTGGGATAGGCGCTCATTATAAGTTTGCACAGTGGGAACTTTAAACCAATAACGAGCTGAATGGGGGATATTTATCAGCCAGGAATTTTCGGGGGGAATTCTGGGGAGATCTGAATTTGCTCAAAAAGTCTGTTTTTACTTGTCTGGCTGTTAAGCTACCCTGGATTTGATAATGAAGGGTAATTTTTATTTAGGCGCAGTTCTTTAAACAGCTTCAGGCAACAAACAGGTATTTAAAGTGAGCCGTGAAGACAGTCACATAAAATTTGACCATTTTTTGGCAGATTCAAACAAACTCAGTTGACCTTGTGGTACATGTGCCTTCACTGTAAACAGGAGGTCACAGGCTTTAGTCCCACCCAAGTAAACTTGAGAAACTTCTTCAACCAAGCTCTCAGAAAGCACATGTCAGTGTCAGACAGGACTCAGTATTAAAAAGTACATCTCCCGATGCCAGTGTTTCATCTCATGATGTATCTTTGCCAGCTACAAAGTCAAAACTGAACAATAAAATTTACTGATTTCCAGGTTCAAGAAAGTAACGTTCAACACCACTTTAGCCACATTCCATGCTGAAAGTATATTTTCAGTTCCACACAGGTGAAGTACAAATACCCTGATCTAACCAGGTACCAACAGGTCAGCACATTGAAGGGGTCATTGTGAACTGACCTTTGACAAAACCTCTCCAACCTCCTAGTGGTTAAAAATACAATAGCAGGGATCAGCAAGTTTGGAGCCAAAGGCTTGCCCATATTCTTCTTCCCCGTAACACAAGTCAGATGCTCAGGCAGGCTTAGGTAGACAGTTACCCCAGTAAGGTCTCAGTGAAGTCAGCCCTGTGCGAATGTCTTGGAAGAATCACTTCATTACTTACAGAAGCTCAACTCACGTGAAAACGTTCTCACACATTTTTCCAGTCCTGCTCGATACAGGAATTTCTGCAATTTTCTTCCGTGCAGTTTGTTGATTCAGATTAATGCAGTTCCCAGGCAGGATTATCAAGTTTACCAATTAGTGAAGAACATATTACACGGGAGCCATTAATGCCCATGACACCGTGATTCGGTCATCGATGCTGCTCAACGGACATGTACAGGAACAAAGACATCCACTGTCACTTTCGATCCGTCTGAAAAGTTTCAGTGTCAAAAGCTGTTCATTTCTCCTCTTACATCACTTTCTTCCAACAAAGAAAGATTCCTGTACAACTCTTACACCGTTAATAAGGATTAAGTCAACCGGTCAAAAAAGCTGTGTGAAATTCTTTGAAATTCTGTCTTGGCAACAGACGGAACTGAAGACAAAAAATTAACTGTTGGGGTCACAAAAAAGCTGAGGATTTCAGACTTCTGTAAAAGACAAAGACAAATGAAACATTTCACACCACCGAAAAGTTTAAAGCTGTCATTTTCCCCTCTGCCCACGGTTCTCATTAGTGCTGCATCAGGCACAATCTCCAATCACTACTATATGTGGTATTTGCTCAAGGAGCTCCCTACGATTGCTCCATTGACTGGCACACATTGACCTGCTATGACACATCAAATTAATCAATGATGAATTCATCAGACTTCTCTGGGCTTCATTACAAATGAGGAATCCAAAAATTTGCTTGGTTATTTATCGTGGCTAGCTGTAAAGTTCACAGCATGTTGGCATGCATCATCTTAAATGATTAAGCTCGCAAGGACACCCCAAAAAAAGTCAATATCCACACACGAAACTAAAAATTCCAATGCTGCTTAGGGGAGAAAATTTTTTTCCTAAAGAATGACAATGAACAGTTTTCCCAATTGGTGACATGGTATCTCCCGAAACAAGCTTTCCCCTTGATACCGTCAAACTCCCTGGGGATGTGGTGATGGAGCGGGTTATTCATAATGCCTTCACCTGCTCCCAACTTTTCTTGTTTAAGGCTCCAATTTTTAAGACAACCTCAAGAATGCTGGCTTTCACTATCTCCGATGAAGGAAACATGGTAAATTCCCTGCCCTCTTCACCACAAACTCATTTGAATCAATGCCCACATTTTACAAGTCTCTAGAGTAAAAATTCTTTTCTCAAATGCAAACTAAGAAGTATTTTCTGTTGGTTGGTCTCTGTTCAAGCTCTCTGCCTCTTCCCTGCTTCACCCTCTGTTGTGCCTTTCACATTCTGTGACGCTGTCATCCGGCTAAACAAATTGGGTCTAATTCTACCAAATGAGATGGTGGGATTGTGTTGCAGGTGCGTAATGGGGGGCTGGATCGGGTGACGGGCGCAAGCCTGGGCCACCTGATGGGAGGAGCTAGGGAGCCTACAGCACCCCTAGAGGGGGTGCAGTGTGTCGCAATGCATCACGGACGGGAGCTCTGGTCAGATACCAGTGAGTATAAGTATGGTTAACTCAATGACAACACTCTCCTAATGCTTCAAGCAGCTAAAGCAAATTTTGTTTTATTCAAGATGAGAGTTTCAGAAGAGATAGGGGGTAATAGACTGCCTTGGATATTGAATGAAGATGGATATCATACATGTATGTGAAATGCCAATTTTGAACCAAAACTGGAATAAACGAACTTCAGACTGATAACAAGTGATTACTGATTGGACACTTCTGGCTAATTCAGGATGCCAGATGCAGGGAGTTTCCTTCCCTGGCTTACTTACATGTAAGTGACCTTATCCATGCCATTACATTTTGCATGTTTGTGTCTCTTTATTGATCCGTCAATAGGATCACTCCTATCCCACTTTTGCTGATTATGTTAAGGAATGCACCACGTAAATGGCCACATAAAACTGTCCCATTCCCAAAACAGGTGAAGTAGTACAGTTACCCCAGTAAAGGAATTTCAAAAAAATAAACCATCCAATGGAGGATAGACTGAAAATCAGACCTTAACTTGTGCCATGACTGAAGCTGAAAGCCTTTGGCTTTTTTTTCATTCATTAGATTGAAAAATAGTTGGCCATAAATTCCTGGTCGCATATCCTGGAATTTGGGAGTAAATCCTGGAATCTAAATGAAGGCCTCAGGTCGTAAAGGACCAAAATGTGTTTTTGTTGACAGAGGTTTATTCAACAGTCCCCCCCCTCCAGGGAATCTCTATTATCTCTTGGACGTGGAGCAAATTTGGTTGGGGATAATCAAATGAATTTGTCCATTATTTCTGCACTTGTTCCTAATGAAAATATGTCAATTCCTGTTAAGGAAGACGTGACATTAACAGGTAATTACCAGGGGGGGGCGAGTAGTACGATGGAAAATGACAAATTCAAAGGTACTAACCCTAGTTGCACAGGGACGCAATTTTCCTTGACGTCACTGCAAATTCAGTGATTTAGGTCAAAGCTTACTCCTCTCAGGGAAAATCTGGGCAGACCTACTTATCTTTTCCAGCATATGGTAGGGTAAGATCACACAGCTTAACATTCCTAAGGCCAAAATACTCAAATTTATTAGATTTTTGTTTTCACAAACAAGATTAGGGTGAACCCTCTACTAGACACCAGGCTCGCAATTGAAATGAAAAGCAGGATTGGATAAGAAGTGACAGCTACCGGTGGAAGTTTTTGAGAACTGTCTAGAAAAAAAAATTAAAAATTGCAATGTGCCAGCCACAAGACCACAGCATGACTGCATCTTGCTGGTTCAGCATATGTAAATCAGCAGGGTTTAGCTGACCAATCAGGATGGCCAAAATGGAGTCAGCAGTGACATGCAAATGAGTGAACCCACCCATCAACAGGTCTCCCAATAACCAATCAGATTCGCCAATGCAGTGGGTGTGATTTGTGTACACGCACACGCCATCCTGTGGAATGTGAACGAAAGAAGGGATAAGATGAATGGACGGCACAGTTGGTGTAAGGCACCCACACTATAATTGCCATCCCATAATGCTTAGTCCAGGCGATAACAGGCGGCACAATGCCTCCCTAGTTATTGCAGCTGTCTGGGTCCCGACCAGCCACGAGACCCAATGAAATCAGACACCAGTTATGATGATGGCATGGTGGTGATGCTGATGAGCACCTAGAAGGGCACCAGTTATAAAATATCTTCAATAATAACCTCCCATGATGCTCTGGGCAACTTTTTTTGGGAGGGGGTTGAGGGTTCACTTTGGCTTTAGAAGGCT